CCCCCCCCCCCCCCCCCATCTTCAAAGGTGTATATTTTTGTAATCGCGTAGTTAACGTAACTGTGTTGTGTGACCATCTTAAACATGAGTTGTCCTTGTCTGTTTGTTCTTGTTAATGTTATCAACTGCGACGGACGGCTGACCCCGGGGTGGGGAAAAGCAGCAAATCACCTGCCGTCGAATAAATTTCTATAGGACCACCTTACCTGGTCGAGTACTCCCAGAGGGGATATTGGGCCGGTCTTCAGTGCGAGCTTACTGTAGACTCGCTGACTCACCGTTGACCTTCTGCAACTTATGCTGAAATCCGCGAAAAAGAACGGTCGCGAAATAACTAGGCTATGATGTCGATTAAATGTGATGCTTTATTCAATTCAAGGCCCAACTGGCCGAAAAACCACTTCAAATTGCCCAACGGGCGATAACTTACAATGATACGCGACGAGGCACAAGTTCGACTTAACTTTACTTCCGACTTTGCCCACCAGGGGCGCGCTCGGCGCTCGCGTCTATCGTATCTCGTGATACGAGCCTAATCGGCCGAGCCAATATGGCTGCTGCGCGCGCGATCTATGCGAAGATGTCAAGTGCACGTGTACCGACGCGACGTGGCACTCGCGCGTTGATCTTGACGATGCGTTTCGTACTTGGCCGCGGGCGATCCGCCCTGATGCGAACGGCCCGAATGTCGACGTACACACACGCACATTAATACTCTGCTTGTTGTACAATGGGTTGTGGAGGGGACGAATTTGAGCGAGTCTGCGAGTTTTTGCAGAGTTTCGCTGACATCGTACACGTTTCATCAGTAAGAGCGGAAATACGTTTGGCAGTCACCAGACTGATGTATGACAAGTGACCCTGAAGAGGGTCGATGTTATTTGTTGCCTCGTAGTTTACAAGTTTTGCAAACTCTACGTTTAGTCCTGAGAAGGACTAGTTTTGATGCAGGCTGTTGATTTGGGCAGAAGGACTGGCTGTGACCAGCGGTGACCAGTTATGACCGATGTTGACCGGCTGTGACCGATGTTGACCGTCATGGAGGGGATGGTCGGATGGACGATGACGTCGTTGTCGGCTCAGGCTGCTTGGCTGTCACATGACTCGTGAGAGTGGAGTGACACAAATGCCGATCACTTTTCTGTCCAACTTGTAAAGTTGAACAGTCAAAAGTCAAAGACAAAAGTCCAATCACTTTTCTATTCTCACTTGTAATCAGTCGAACAGTCAAAAGCTGATTGAATTGATTTGAAAGGCACTTGTACTAGTACTCTGAACTCGACCTTTCCTCTTGCAGGCACGACTTTTTAGTGGCACTGCGCCACCTGGCGGCCGAGTCGGAAGTTTGAAAAGTCAAAAGGTGGGGAGAGGTGTTGAAATAATAAGTCGAGTATTTTGTAATTTAACCAAGTTCACTATTGAGAAGTGGCCCTAGGTCAAAACTCTCGAGTGCTCGTCGACGCGAACGCGAAGACGAGAGTCGATGTGCTCTGGCTGGCTGCCGAGAGACGACTGTGTCTAGTCGGCCCAAGTGGCTCGCTTATATACACAGCGACCACGTGCTGATTGGCTGATGCCGCGAGGTGGGGACGAGTGCAGCAGTGCACGTCGTTTGAGTGGGGACGCACGCAGGGGTCTCGGCGTTGGTGGGGATAACATGCTTGCTGCGTATCGCCGCTGCGATACTCGACAGCCAAGCTCGAACACACACACACAATCACATGCCCGCAACCCGGCAGTCACGTCGACCAATGATCTTCGGCGCCTCGACGATGGATCGGCTCCTTTTCTCCACTCGCGTTCGGCCCTCGTCCGGGCTTCGATGAGCACGTGCGACGAAGCGGTGCGTTCTTACGCCCACGTCTGGGCGACGATGTTTAATGACGTGTACACGTGCGCACTCACTTGTACAAGCCCCACTGGGCGACACTTACACGGGTGCACTGGCTTGTACGAGCCCGGCTGGGCGAGATTTGCCTTACTGGCCAACTGCTTCACGAGCACACACGATGACTAGCCCTCCTGGGCGAACTCGCACACGTATCTTTGCGTCGGCTTTTATATGTGCCGTCTTCTACGAGCACAATACGCGGTGGCTTTTCACTTTGTTACTTTTGCACTTCGTAAACTCGTGATAACCTCGAAACTCCTTCAATGGCTGCCGCGTATCTCTCACGTGTCTCGACGTGTTGCTCGAGCTATTCTGCCGCGATCTATTACGCTTCGGCACGTCTGCTCACGTGCAGCGGTCTGTCTTTCTCGCACGCGTACGCCGCCATACGTGCCGAAACGTCGTTGCCTGCTGCTGCCGCTGCTGCTGTTTTTGTGGACCTGCAAGTCGCGAAAACATACACGCACACATACATGCTCGCGCGACTTATTCGAAAATTCACAACATATTGCATACTCAGTTCTTATTATCATGTGAGCTTAAAGCTTACCTTCGACCGTTAGGTGCCGCTCACTTTTCGTACGATCGAAACAAGCTCAAATGAGAGACTGTGCTCTCGCATCAGATTGCACTGAGATGTTCTTGAGAATAGACGCATCACTGCCGTATTGTACTCATTCTATACTTTATACTTATTTATACAGTTCTTATTTAAATAAATCTTATTTAAACTATAGTGATTGCTTATCGTCATCCAATAACTACAACAGTTCCTAGCATTTCCCTTTTAAAACTCGGGGATTTGGGTCATTTTATTACGCATTCTTTTATTTTGTCTCCTACGGTTAAGGGAAAATAAAACTATAAGATGAAACTATTAACAAACTTAACAAAAAAAATTTTATAATACAAAAAGTGTGTAAAGCTTTTCAGAAAACGCGTGTGAACTTCTTCAAGATAATTCTAACTTCTTTAGGAATTTAGAGCTTGGATCAGATTTTGAAAGAATCCAAATAATTACCACAAAAATTTATGTATTAATTGTTTTTGTGTGTAATTTGTGACTGATTTTTAAAAATTGATTTATTCATAATCAATTATAATTTTCTATATACTATTTTATTTTCATCGAATCAAATAGACACAAATTATTTATCTTAGTTGCAATGACAATCAGTAGTTGTTTATCAGGCAAACTGCATCATTCTATTCATCACCACCAGTCATTACTTCCATGAATTCTGTAAAACATCCAGACAAACATAAGATTAATTTAAATAATACATTTATATTTATTAATTTATTTAATGCATGATTGAAGGGTAGACTAGTACATACTTGAAATAATTCGACTCGATTTAATTCTTAGAGATTTTAGGGTTAGAAATATGATTTTTGATTTATCAGCGAGACAAGTAATTTAACATTTTTTATTGAAAAATTATGAAACATTAATTATATTTACTAACACCTAATCACTAATTTTGCAAAAAAATTATTGAATAATATGCTTGAAAAAATACAGGCGAATAAAAGAAAATATAGTCGTTCTTCTATAATATTATGATTTTGAAACTTAATGTTTTAAACGAACTTATCACGTTATATCAAGTCACTTCGAATTCAATAGTAGTAGAACTTTATATCTTGCTAAAAATATAAACAACACTTTACAAGCTATTCATTTTTTTATTAAATTTTTAAATAAGAAAAAAAATTATATTTACTTCATATATTTCCTTTTGATGTAAAATTATGTTTTTTTTAAGACTTTTCACATCAGAAAATATTTATCAATCTAACAATTCAAAAAAGTGTCAATCAGCGTGGAAAAAGATGACTATTTGGAAATTGTTTTGTATTTATGTATAAAAAAAATTCCTAGCTTTTTCTTGAAATTCTGTAATTTTTATGAGGAGGATAATGTTATGACAACAATTTTAAGACCTCTAGGATAAAGTGTTGTACAATGTCACGTTGTCGTAGATGAAAAGTCCTGAGAAGGACGGATGCCAAGCTAGGCTGATGGTCAGAGTGGTCAAAGGATGACGTTCGCTGACCCACGTTCTGATGACGAGGATCTTAGAAAGAGACTACGTTGAAAGACCTTTGTGTGGCTCTGAAAAGGACCGATTGTCTGTTGTAGTCGCCTAGAAGCGCCTTTTCCGCTCTCTTCTCAGCTCTGCTTCTCTTCTAGCCGAGGGCCTCCTGGAGGGTGAGGAATAAGAGTTGCGAGGAGAACGTGGCTCAGCTTTTGGCTTAGGAGCACGTTTAGCCGGGCAGAGCGAGATAGCTGGCCTTGGTAGTTTGTGTAGTTGTGGATGAGATGCAACGTATTCGTCAAGAGCGCTGGCGGGTCGTAACGTTCTGTCTTGAGTCGTCTTCTTCGCTACCGATACTTCCCACAGTGGCGGTCGGGCCGGTGGTACCGTGACCATGGTCAGTTGGTGTTGTCGTTGACACGTTTGCTCGTCAGACGACCGTGGCTCAGTGACCGTCGGGAGAGTGCGGTAAGCAGATGCTGTGGATTGGAAATCAAACCACTAAGGGTCTTGACCTTCTCAATGGCTCGTTAACGAGTCTTGACGATATCTTCACCCACCGGCACAGCCTGTATGACGCAGCGTCGTTCCAAAGCACCCGACACGAAAGGATGGCCTCGTCGTAGAAGAACAGCCCTCCCTCTCTTTTTTCTTTGGATTGGCGCCGTGATTGATTTCCCTCTTCGGGTCGAGACAATCGGAGGCGACAAAAAGACTCGAGTACGAGTCCAACTACTTTTCTGTTTTGACTTTTTTCAAAGTCAAACAGTCAAAAGTAGCGTGACAACTGTTTACTCACTTTTCTGTTTCCACTCGTACAAGTTGAACAGTCAAAATTTAAGAAGACAAAAGTCCAATCACTTTTCTATTCTCACTTGTAACAAGTCGAACAGTCAAAAGCTGATTGAATGAGGTCGAAAGGCACTTATACTAGTACTCTAAACTCGACCTTTTCTCATGCGGATACGACTTTTTTCTGGCGCCACGCCACCTGGCGGCCAAGTCGGAAACTTGCAAAAGTAAAAAGTGGGGAAAGGTTGTGAAATGACAAGGCGAATATGTTTGTTGCAATAAGACCAAGTTCACTATTGAATGAAGTCCCTAGGTCGCAACTCCCAAGAGCTCGTCGTCGCGAACGCGAAGACGAGAGTCGATGTGCTCTGGCTTGCAGCCGAGAGACGACTTCGCTTTGCGTGGCCGGGCACCTCGCTTATATAGGAAGCGAGTGCGCGCTGATTGGCCATCGGCGTAAAGGTGGGGACGAGTGCTGCTGTGTACGTCGCTCGAGTGGGGGACGCACGCAGTGGTGTGGCAATGCGTACGAGGGTAACAAAAGATTGGTCGAAGATTCCATCCAGATTCATGTGGCACAAGGCTTTTGATTGATAAGTCAATGTGGTTTCATCCTGGACTAATTTACATAATAAAAGGTACTATAAACACTTGTTTTCAGATGCTGTGACGGTAAACTCCCCATGTTCACCACATGCTCGGGCTTCTCAAGTCCTGGCTTTGCCAATGAACCACGCGCCAGACGAGCGGATGCTCGTCACCGACCAGGGTCCGGTTAGCTAAATAAATTGAAAGAGGGCACGAAATTGTCTCGCGGTCGTAGGTACGACTCTTCTCACAGAGGAGACGCCGACGGGTAGGGAGCGGGGACTCCGTTGAATGCAGCACTGCACCTCAAATAACCACCTGTAAACGAGAGAATCCGCAAGAAAGAGAGAGGAAAATAAGAATAAAGGGTAATCGAATAGTAACACAAATAATTACAGGTAATAGTATATTACGTGCCTAGGGAGCGAAAAACTGGAAAACCTCAGAGCACTTGTAATTATCGTCCGAGGCAAAGCCGAGGCCGATAAACATGTGCTCTGAGGCTTTCTTTTCGGTAGCATGAAAAATAATATAAGACTTTATTGAATCGACTCTGAATTGATCACTTGCTCTAAGCCGAAGCTCGCACTCTCACATTCACACTTGGTCGCGTACGCAAGCTGCGTTGCCGTCTGTGGGTCGGTACGGGGTACGATAAGGACGGTAAGGCTACTTACGTTACGCCTCGTACAAGAGGCTCTCGACCACACGGGTGGAACACAATGTCACCGGGGTCTCACGAGGCTGGACTGCTCGCCTTGCGTCGCGCTTGTTGGGCCACAGACGCAAGAAGGGACGGGTCGGACTAGTCGTTCGCGATGCCGTGGTCGATGAGAAGGCCTGGTGCGCTGTGTGAATCGCCAGAACTCACATTCGAATCTCACAGCCACCAACTTCTCCAACGATACGTGCAAACACTATTCCATCAAATTCTCACCAAAAACACACACCTCAACACACTCAAATTACTCTCCACAAAAACACACTCTTCACGAAGAATACAACAAAGACTCTCGTAGCGTCGCGTATAGTGAACTCTGCTCTATTTCACATTCGTACTACTACTCTGGTCTTTGCTCTCTCACTTCTCCAACTCGAATGCCGTCGTCTGCACACGCGCATGCAACGATCCTCACTCCAAATTTGCAACGTGTAACCAGGCACGGGCCGCTCGCTAGAGGCCACAGTGGTATCGGCTACAATCGTCGCACGTTATTCACCCGTTTACGCGAATTAGACACGTCTATGACGCGCCACTCACGAGATCCGACTTTTAACTATAGCGCAACGTCACGACTTAAAAAAACATAATTTTAAATCAGAAATAAAAAGTTCAACCTTAACATTTCATTATCATTTTTTTCAATTTACCAGATTTAATATAGTCTAAGAGCCCACTGACATATAAAATCCTTTATTAATAACAATCCGTAATTTTGTGTTCAAGCCCAGTCTGACAAATATTCGCTAAAACTTTTTTTGTCAGCCGTGGCCTTTTGTAAATAATTAATGTTAAAATAATGACCCCAAAAAATATATTATTATCAAACTAATTTTTTCAGTAAATGTTAAAAATAATATTTTCAAAAATCATTTGACCTTCTCTAACAAAATTTGTTTACCGATTTTCCAGTCTGACAACAAAAATCCGATAAAGAATTAATGAAAAATGCAATTTTTTTCTCTCAGACTAATACTGGTGTGTCCCGTTAACTATAATTGATTGCTAAATACGACTATTACAAAAAATTTGAGATAAAACTAAACCCACGGTAAAAGAAGGGCGGGTCCCAATAGCTGGTGACCGATTGATAAAAATTTTAGTAAAAATATCATCTTTTGCTCTCTTCTACACCAAATAACGATGACGTGAACAAGGCTCGCGGTAACCCAGATGGTTAGAGCATTCACCGGCTAAAGGCGATGTATCGCCGGTTCAACTCCAGTCCAAGCTCATATTTTTCGTTTGGTGTACAATAATTAAATTAAGATTGAATAAGGAAATCATCGTTTTGATGCTCCTATTCAATTAGGTATAATAAAAATAATTTTTTGCGAGTTTTCTAAGAGAATAAGTATCAAAGTATTTAGCAATCGCGGTATAAATAAAAAATGATCCTCCATTTAGGCTTCACCTGGCAGGTATCAATTTAAGGGTACAGCATCACACTACCAAATTAATCATAAAAAACAAATTGATATTTCGGACGCGTCCCAGTTGAAAAAAATTGCGTGGATTTTCAGGTGGATCATGCAGGGATTCCTCGAGGATCGAACATTCATTCCACGTGTATCGATCATGGATACTACGTGGATCATACAAAAAGTCTACGAACGTAAGCCTCGTGGATTTATGAGATATCCGCGTTGATTTTTGATGAATCCACGAGGTTTTCCCTGGAAATCCTCGTTGATTTTTCATCAATCTCCGCGGTTTTACGCAAAGATTTTTTTTGAGATTTTAGGTACTTTTTCCCTCGCTTAAACCATAATAGTATTTTGAAATAAAAATTACCCCTCTTTTTTAGATCTGGTCATCAACTGTCTTTCATAAAATTGGCAGTTCGACTCGGAAGAATGAATTTTTTGCTACATTAAAGAAATAGAGAATTTCTCCGTCATAAGATTTTGTCTATATTGAAACAAAAGGATATAGTCTTCGTAAGCATCGGCAATATAAGTACTAGATAATTTTCGTAATGACTTGTGACCCAGATTTGGAGTAATCTAGTATTGTCTTTTTGTTAATTGTATTTTATAAAAATATTTTTTTCAAATATTATTTATGAAATATTATTGATCAAACATACTCGACCTTTTCCTCGTATGAATTGACATCATGACCATACAAAACTATTTAATAAATAGAAATCATACGAACCATCGAAATCAAGAGTCCCTGAACCATCGGCATCTATTTCTTCTATCATTAAATCTAATTCTTCAGGTGATAATTTATCATCAAGTTCATGTAAGATATCACGAAAAACATCAGTTGTTATGTAACCATTTCCTTCTTTGTCGTATAAACGAAATGCTTCCCTAAGCTCTTGCTGCATAGCTTCAGTGTCCTCCTCTACTAAAAATCTAGCTGCAAGCGTACAAAACTCATCAAATTCAAGTTGTCCAGAACCTGAAATTGCAAATCGTTTTCATCATTAGATTGAGACAAAAATGTACTTATTCACATTTTCATGAGTATATGAATGATATTAGGGAAAGTCAGGTAAAACAAAAATTACAACACAAAATAAAAAAATGCAAATGATCAACTGATTAAATTAAAGCTAAATTAAAGTTAAATTTTAGCAGTACGCTGTAAATATGGGATTTTTTTATATAGCCTAGACACATCCAATAACTACACTCATATTTTAACCGATGAAATTTCACTGAGAATTGTTGTTCTTTATGCAGATGAATAATAAGTTACTCACTTGATTTGGAATTGTCTATTGATTAAATTTATTATTGATACAATTTACTCATCGTCTGTACCTTAAGACGATGAGATACAGACGATGTAGTGTAATATTAAAATAATATTACATTACAAAGTTCAGTGCTGATTGCAAGTGAAATGTGTAAGTGATTAAGATGACTCTTTACTTAAACATTTTTTTATACAAGATCTTGAAACTTTGGGACAACATTAATTAGTGATTATCCTTCTGCGAAATTTCAGACTCTGTTGTCAAGCTAATTTTCAACACGGCTTTTTAACACGGCTTATATTGGCTTACAAAATTTATCATACAGCTCTTATAAAAACTGATAATATGAAGTTGGAAGTATAAGCTTTCAATTGGTATATTAAAAAGAACATGTTGGCATGCTAAATATTGTAATATTTACTCGAGAAAGGGAATTCTCATGGTCTGATTGAGGTTTTGTCGTTTGCTGAAGAGAAGAGGGGACGCTTACAACACTACAGCATAGGGCCCTCGGGTACCACAATAGTCAAAACAAACTAACTACACTCGTATTGACTAGCCGAGTCAGTAAAGAGTCACCTTAATTGACCCTTTCCAATCCTAATGTTATTCCTCATCGAGCATAAAGAAATCCGCAATAGGTGCCCAACACACTTCCACTGCACTGCTGCGGAAAGCTAGATAGATTCTTCGTTACTCAATGAAGATAGCAAGTAGAATTACGATAATACATCAGCACTGACGTGCCATTGTGTTCATTGCAATACAGGACTGCAGAGTTTAAGAGTTATTATCTTCTTGTGTTACAACTAGAGACATGGATTCTACGATTAAAAGTAGATCTTTTTCGGCATTGAGAGGTATGCTTATTTATACTATTAAGTCCTCGTGAAATAACGAAATAAATTCAGCTTGATAAACTTAAACGCACACGAGTTTGTCTTGTTCGTAGGTAGCGAGGGACTCGATTGCTCGAAAATGGTTGGCACGCGAGATACAGGAACAAGTCGTCGCATGTTTCGCATTGTACCGCTGCTGCGAGGTGTTCGGTTGATACGATCAGACCAAAAACTGCATGGTTTCTTGGTATGTTAGATTAGGACATTCTTCACTAAAATACATAAAAGCATTTCAAAAACAATTTCCTGACCACTAAGAAATATCGAAAATTATGTTCGACGATTTAATTTCGAAAAGTGAAGTTTGTATAGTATCGAAATTAAATAAGATCCCCTCTAAAAATGTTAGAACATGAGCAAAGAAACTGATATACGCCAACGGCACGAGACTCCTGCGTGCGTATCCCCACTCCGCCACTTAGCCGCTGCCGGCTCGCGTGCCGACCGGCCAGCGGTATAAAAGACAGTGCCGATTCGATTCGGCACGCATTTCCACTCCTGGACTTGCCGGAGTCGGAACTCGCTCGCCCACGAGAGCTTGGCCTAGGGAACGTTAATAAACCTGAATTGTACAAAAATACTCAATCTTATTATTTCTCGCTCCTCTCCAAGCCTCCTTCCCACTTCTTGCGCTGAGAAGCTTCACTAGTGACCGCTAGGTGGCGCGGCGCCGGCACCCACAAGCTACTTATCCCTGCCAGGGCTTAAGTACCGGCCACTTCGATCCTCGATCTTTCAAATTCAGCGAGTGCAGCCTGAACCTTCCGGCCCCAACTGACCAGCAAGGCCAAGTCAGATTCATCGCAGAGTCATCGCTGCCAAGACTACAAGGTCGACGGGATCTCCAACCTTCCGTTGCAGAGTTGACTCCGGAACAGCATCGGATCTCGGTGACCACTCGATCCACATCACTCGCCAACTAAACAATTTGGAACTTGTACACGCCAACTCGGCCCCGGTCCTTTTCAGGACCACCTCACGTAGCATTTCGAAAGACCTCGAACTTTTGCTAAAGATTGAGGCTAACCGTCTTGTCAATTGCAGAGTGCGAACTCTGCAATTCTTTTCGGTTTCCAGCCTTCCCAGGGCTACTGTTCGAAAGCAAACGAACTTTTATAAAAGTTCAATTCAAGCCGTCTTGGCAGGGGCAGAGTGTAAACTCTTAAACTCCTTTCGGTTACTAGCCTTCTCAGGGCTACTGTTCGAAAGGTCATCGGACATTAATAAAATTCGACGTTCCCGCTTAACAAAACTGCTCCATACAATTCATGCCAATTTGATGGGTCCGGTTGGTCCAGTTAGTCAACTAAAGCGCTATGATTTTATAGCTGTGTTCATCGGTAATTTTTCACAGCTTACTTAAGGGCTAACAGGGGGCTTAATTATGTTTCATTTTTCAATTACAGTACTAGGCTGTATAAGTGAAAAAAAATGTTTTTTTTAAGAACACACATGATAACTCTTTTCAAAACCCTATTTGAAAGTATTTTGTCCAGTTAGATACTGAGAAACAGTTAAATACAATTATAATAAGAGTATGAACCTTCAACGCAAGCTATACGCATATCTAAGCTACCTGTCATAGAAATCTCAGAGCAAGCATTACTCGATGGTACCTCAATTCGTTTCATTTTGTTCGATAGCCAATTGGCCATGGTCGCAACCAAAAGCTAGCTAGAAGATGAACGTGTGCTACTTGTACATATAGCAAAGTGAAATTGATTTCTGGAAAATGATAAAAAATGAATACTAAATTCTAGAAATTTTTACACACAAGTAGCGAATGTTCATCTTATAACTAGCTTTTGGTTGCAACCATGGCCAATTGGCTATCGAACAAAATGAAACCAATTGGGGTACCATCGATTAATGCTTGCTCTTGGATTTCTACGACAGGTAGCTTAGATATGCGTATAGCTTGCGTTGAGGGTTAATACCCTCTTTATTATTGTACTTAACTGTTTCTAAGTATCTAACTGGACAAAATACTTTCAAATAGGGTTTTGAAAAAGGTTATCATGTGTGTTCTTAAAAAAAACATTTTTTTTCACTTTTACAGCCTAATACTGTAATTGAAAAATGAAAAATAATGAAGCCCCTTGTTAGCTTCAGCCAAGAGCAAAACGGGCACCAGCGAATGCTTGAAATCCTTTATAGTTAGCCCATGAAATCTATTAAGACATGATGAAAAAGTCTGTTACTTGAAGTATAATCAAGGCATAGAGTTCGCTAGTATGCTCAAAGTACTCAAAAGATACGGTATACTAAACTGCAATTGGCTATTTCGGATACTCCTGAGTATAATGGCACTGCAGAAAGGTTCAATCAAATCATACAGAAAAAGTTCAATATTTAATGTTCGATTCATGTCAACCTGTCAATATGTGGAACTTGGCCTTGAATGCTGCCTCCTTTATCAACGACAAAATTTCTCGCAGCTCGAATGATATGCCCACTACAAAAATTTAATCCAGAATGCAAACTCAACCCCTAAAAAATCAAACACTTTGGCTGTGTAGCATACATGGAAGTCCAAATAAACATTGGAACCCCATTCTCTCATCTAGGTAAGATAACCGTGCTTGTTGGATTTCCAAATACTGGATTGATACTGTCCACGCAAGAAGAAAAAAAGTTCTATGAGAACAGGAACATTCTATTTAATGAAAGATTAGTATAGTGTTTGGTGACAGATGTATTACTCGTGAGACTTGTTTATACTCAAGACTCAAAGCAGTGGATGACGACAAGAAACAGATTGACTCAGACTGGAATGTGCTATCGAATGAAACCGTTGTTGCACTAATTGCTAGAATAAAGAGAGAATCAGCATCATTCAAGCAAGTTATGGTGTGTAATGAGAGAGAGAGAGAGAGAACAATGGTTAAATGTAGTACGAGCAGAGCTTGAGGCTATGAATGAAATTCAAGTCTGGAGTTGGGTAAATAGACCGACAGAAAACCGAACATCATTGATTATTCGAGATTGGTACTCAAACGAAAGCCAAGCTTGAACGTAGAACATAAAAATAAAGCTCGATTAGTATGCAAAGGATTTAAGGACAAAAATGACTATGAGATTCATGAAATTTACGCTCCCGTGTCTCGAATGCAAAACATCATAGCAACTCCAACCATTATAAGTGAGTTGAATTTAGAAGTTTGCCAGCTCAATGTGAAAATAGCCTTCTTCCATGACACAATCGAAAGTGATGTGTTCATGGAAATTCCTGAAGGTATGGGATACACAAGCGAAGTACGTGACAATATGGTGTATAAGCTGCAACGGGCACTACATGGTTTAAAAATTATCCCAAAAAGATAAAACGGAAAATTCACAGAGGTGGCCACAAAATTAGATTTAACTACCTACGACACCTGCCTATTGGCCTCGAAAAAGAATAGGAAATTCCTTCTGTTGTTGTTGTATGTAGACGATGTGTTCATAGCTAGAAATGATAGTAGAAAGCTCGAAGAGGTCGAGTTAAAACTCTTGCTAGAATTTAAAATGACTGATTTTGGAGAACCAGAAAGTTTTCTTAGGATGAAAATCAATCGAGGTAGGAAAAATAAAGTCTTGACTCTCACATTGGAAGATTACATTACTAAGCTCCTCAAAAGCTTTGGTTACCGTGAAATGAAAACGCAGAAAAAAAACCATGGTGATCGACAATCGGAAAAGAAAAGCTCGAGAAGAACTTGAAGACAAACTTCAAGTTGTTAGTAATGAAAATTACTCATACCGAGTGTTTCATTTCTCCACCGCTAGGTGGCATCTACGCAAGCCACCGCAGTTCTCGC